GGACACCTCACACTAAACCATGGCACCCAAGGCTCTGTCCAACCTGGCCTTGAACACCGCCAGGGATGGAGCATTCACAACTTCCTTGGGCAACCCATTCCAGTGCCTCACCACCCTAACAGGAAAGAATTTCCTCCTTATATCCAATCTAAACTTCCCCTGTTTCAGTTTTAACCCGTTACCCCTTGTCCTGTCGCTACAGTCCCTAATGAAGAGTCCCTCCCCAGCATCCCTATAGGCCCCCTTCAGATACTGGAAGGCTGCTTGAGGTCTCCACGCAGCCTTCTCTTCTCCAGGCTGAACAGCCCTAACTTCCTCAGCCTGTCTTCATACAGGAGGTGCTCCAGTCCCTGATCATCCTCGTGGCCTCCTCTGGACTTGTTCCAACAGTTCCATGTCCTTTTTATGTTGAGGACACCAGAACTGCACACAATGCTCCAGGTGAGGTCTCACAGGAGCAGAGCAGAGGGGCAGGATCACCTCCTTGGACCTGCTGGTCACGCTCCTTTTGATGCAGCCCAGGATATGGTTGCTTTCCGGGCTGCGAGCGCACACTGAAGCCAGCTCATGCTCATGATCTCCAATCCCTGTCTCCAATATTCACGTATTACAGAACTTTGGGCAAAGTCACTGAATCCCTTGGTTCCTTATGCACCAAGAATAATACTTCTGTATTTATTTTATGACACCTTAAGCACTTCAATTTCAGCCATGTAGGATGTGATACTGGAAAGACTAAAGGCACAGCTACCTGCAGAAACATAGTTGTCATGTCAAAGTTACAAGGAACTGTGAAATGAAGAGTATCATTTTAAATCAGCTTGAAACTTTCAGATAAACGATTTGAGCCCTAATATTTAGTTACATATTTGCTTTAGTAAGCCGCAGAATGACCAAGAGTAGGATGTGTATATAGAAACTGGTTGGGTTCCCTGAAACAAGTCCAGAGCAGCCCAGTCTTAACCAGCCAAAGAACACAGGCAAGGGAAAGGAAATATCAGATAAGAAGATACCTTTTAAACTCCCAGGGATGTGACAGTTTCTTGTTGAAAGCATAGGATGCATCTTCAAAGCTTGGTTTTAACTCTGCTCCCATGAAAGCAGCAGTCAATTCGCAAAGCCCTCTATGGCAGCAGTAGCTGGCGTTGGCAAGGACACCTGAAAATGATGATGCTTGCTAGAAATCATTATAGGAGAATACAGGTTTCTGTTATTTGAAGAAGAGCTTTTCCCACCTAAATATTTGCACTACTTTTGTTTTATCACAGTTTTGATTTAAATAGGAACGATTCCATAAAGAACTCTCAAATGAGCGCTTGCTGCTCTTACAATGCCTTTTTATTGACCTAGTCCCTCAAAAACACAGACCCATACTTGAAAGCTCTATTTCTTTGTTACTGCTCCTTCACCTGCTCTAATCTTGCTTTACTATCTTGTCCTTTCTACCACAATAAAACACCAGGAGTCTTCTTTTCCTTTTCTTTATAACACTCACAGCAAACTAGGGAAGTAATTTGTGCTTATAAATCTCAAGGCAACCAACTCTAGGGCATAAACACGCAAATTACTGATGCTATCAGGGGACTGAAATTGGCTGCCATATAACCATCTATTTTGTGAGTTCTAGCACAAACCACTCTGTTGGTTTCTGGAAATTAGCTTCCCATGATTTCCTAGTAATTACTCTATGTCTGAATGACTGTTCTTAATCTCCCTGTATTTTCACTCACCGATACGCATTTCCTGTCACTGACTCTTATTCTTCATCAGCTGTTACTTTTAATTCCTTTAAACTCCCTCAGCATTTTCTTCTCAGATGCCTTAGTTTTGGCAAGGGCCCATCTTTTATCCCACTAAACCTCGTGTGCATGGTAACGTTCTCTCTAGACAAAAACCCCGCATGCTGTGCAGGCAGAGATATAAACTCTAATAAAGAAATGAAGCAGATCCACAGTTGTAACAGGAATTTACAGACTCCTGCGAGAATTTAGCTGAAAACTAATAGGAAGTGTTTCAAAATCAAGTGAAGTCACAACACTAATAGATTTACACACTGGAGAAGCTCTGGAGAAGCTCATATAAGGAGAATTAACAAACTATCTTTTCCCTTCACATTAGTACAAGGGCCTGCAGGGACAGGCCAAGGGGAATGGCTTTATGGGGAGACTGAGATGAGCTCTTAGGCAGAAGCTCTTCCCTGGGAGGGTGCTGAGGCGCTGGCACAGGGTGCCCAGAGAAGCTGTGGCTGCCCCATCCCTGGCAGTGGTCAAGGCCAGGTTGGACACAGGGGCTTGGAGCAAGCTGCTCTAGTGGAAGGTGTCCCTGCCCGTGGCAGGGGCTGGAACTGGGTGAGACTTAAGGTTCCTTCCAACCCAAACCAGGCTGGGAGTCTGTGAAAAGGGTTAAAACCAGCAGGTCCTTCCTTGCTTCCCATTTACTTTTGTATTGATTTCATTATAAGTAGTCGATTACAGAGTGATGGCAACAGACTGCCAGTTCACTGCCAACAAAGGAAAAACCCAAACTCAAGACTTTCTTGCAGGAAGGCAGAGTGCCTGAAGCATGGCGTTATGGTTAAATGTGACCTACCAGCTCCTTACAGGCTTGATTTGCTTTTCATCTTCATGATGCTGGAGTAGCCTGCCAAAGAGAGGCTCCCTTTCATAATTAGCTCAAGCAAGAACTTCTTCCTAGCCCTACGCTAACGAAGATACAAGAACAAACACGCACCCTGCCTGGGGGGATAGCTGTGGCTGTGGTTTGATTTTTTGTTATTAGACTTTTTGGACAGTAATATGCAAATTGAAGCAGCCCACAGAAGCCTGTAAGATTGCCAGTGCCGTCAGTAGTATCCCCAGTGCTGGGTATGACAGGCTGGGGATGAAGCCAAGTCCCGCTGTAGTGGAATTTTTGCTACCAATTTCAATACTAGAATTTAACTTGTTAAGAGAAAATATCCAACAGTTCCTGAAACTGGAATAAGGAGAAAGTTGCTGCAGTGATAGGAGAGCAGTTATGAATTTAAATGAGCTGGCACCCCTTGAAAATATTGACCATTACAATGAGAACTGGCATAGAAATCTACCTTTAGAAAGAGCTGGGAGGAAAGAGCCTTCACACTTCAAGAGTTCCCAAGCTTCAATCAATGTCTTCCATGCTGTAGCTACACTTCCAAGAGTGTAGGCTTGACAACTTCTACTCAGCTTTCAGGTTCACCCTCTGTAGTCCCAGGCCTGCAGCTACCATGGTTGTACATAAAGCTCTTCTATGCTTGTTTTGCCAAAGGGACCTACTTCCATCAACAACATATTTCATGCAGACCTGCTCAAGTTCTCATTTTAAGTACTGATTCGCTTAATCCTGTCCTTTCAGACATGTTTTCTTATCATGCAGTTGTGAAGGAATGTTCTTTCAGTAGAACAAAGTGTGGCTGAGAAAACACGTCAATTAATTCCTTTCAAAATCTGAAGAAAAATCATAGAATAAGGCTTCACATTCTTCTGGCACCATTTACCAAAAGAAAAAGCAGTCATTAACAGTAAAGGGCTAGGGGATACAATAAGCTGATTCTGTCTGCAACTGCTTCAGATGCAGCAAAGCACGAAGCAGTGGGAAAAAGGTGGTAAAGGAGAAATTCAGGAAGATGCTTAATGAGAAAGAAGAGTGTCAAACTCCTCTGTTATTTACTCCCATCCAGTTGAGAGATTCAGAAGAGCTATTACAAATGCCACCTTTTGGCATACTGAGAAACATCTGATGAGATGCAATGGTGGCTGATTAAAAACACGTATTCATGTCTGTGTGTATAAGCCATTTTCTTCAAATCTTGTTGATTTCATTCACCCTCATCCGTGAAAGAGGAAAAAAATACTATGACTTATGGACTCATAGAATAAACTAAATATACCATTGATCAAAACTGAATCAATTGCACAATTAACTGAATTCATTGCTGGTACTCCAGCAGTCTTTAGAGAAAGCACACGTGGACCACTTTATCCTGAAAGCTCAGTGTTCAACGTGTGCAGAAGATCTCCCTACTCAATACTCCTGGCAGGCCTCTACTTGGGTTTATCTAACATCTAAGATACAAACCTCATCACTTCAGTCTTCATTCTCCTCTGCTTTCACTGCTCAGACGCCCATCTTTAACTCATGATTTCCTTTATGTTTGCCTCTGTTCAGTGTCTCTTACTCATGCTCCTTGCACATTGTGTGGCCCAAATTCATTTATTTCCTACTTTTTACCCAAATTAGTCTCTCAGCCTACCTAATTATTTTCCTGTATTCACTCAGTGTTTTTTCTGCCTCACTGTTCTCACTTCTACCTATGGATCTTGTAAGAAAGTTATAACCTATAATAAGGGAAAATGGAACATTGAATTTTATGCAGTGAGAAAGTACAGCCACTTGCTGGGGAGAGATTGTCTTTTACTATGTCCCCATTCTTTTCTGATATCATGAGAAACTCTGTAAACCAATAATAACTACAAAAAGGCAACCAAGTGAACTCCAGACACCTGCAAGAACAATGAGACAGCTACAAGTGCTGCAAATGGCTGTCTTCTGGATATAATCCTCTTTCCTAGAGCTGTTGTGTATCCCTCAGCCCCCCTCAAATGCGACCACCCCTCTTTAAACAGAACGAACATGCACACACAGAAATACCTGGAGAATGCCAATAGTGGGAGGAGGTTTTGACATGGGGTGCAAGTATCCAATGCTGTGTCTGACTTCAGACAGAACCTGCTCTGACACAAAGAAGACCAACAAAGTTGTTTGCAGCCCTGTAATTGTTACCCCTTATTTTCTTCCTCCAAAACATTCCCATCCCATTCATCTCATTTATTACTTTTCATCTCGCTCATTGTCAAATGATAGAAGCTGACTTTATCATTTTCACACAGGAATTACACAGCTGAAAAACTGCAATGAGAATTCGGCCCCTCATTCATATGCAGTCGTTCTCAAGGATTTAAATGATCTTTCCTTTTCATCAGCTCCTGAAAGCCTGATGCAGGCTCTGGAAGACCTCGATTATCTTGCAGCCCTGGATAATGATGGAAACCTCTCTGAATTTGGAATTATTATGTCGGAATTTCCTCTGGATCCACAGCTGTCCAAGTCAATTCTGGCTTCGTGTGAATTTGAGTGTGTTGATGAAATGCTCACCATCGCGGCCATGGTAACAGGTAAATCACATCTTACTGCTTGGCTTTTGTCCCCTTCATACAAGTGCAAGCCAAAGACTAACTTCTGTTATTCACATCCTGCTTATTTCAAGTAAATTAATATCTTTGGCTGTTTAAGTCTTGACTTTAAGCATGCATTGAAAAGCAAGTAATGAATTTATATGTAGCACACCATTTCCATGCTCTGGCTGCCCCATTAGCTTCCAGCCATCTGTCAGAAAGCACAACATCCCTTCAAAATGAACCTTCTTATCTCATATTCATGTACATTTGTTACTGACTAGAGCAGCAAATTAGAGGAAGTTCTAATGATGAACAACATTGAACTGTTGACCCACAAAGAATTACTTTGTGATCTTGTTTCTTCACATCAGATATTTTATACAAATAACACAACCTTAAGCATCCATACCATTCCTTCCTGATGGATCCTCTGCTCTTACACTGCGAGACAAACAAGCTGGCCCCAAAGGCTGCGCACATGAAGTCTGGGTAGGGTTGTTATCTATAGAGCTTTCCATTAGATGTGAGAGAGCTTTCAAACCAACACATAAACCCCACATATTTATAACTTACTCGTATTGCAAATGCTGCCATTGAAATCTTAATACATCAAAGATGCATAAAATCAAAGATTTTAGGATAACTGAGAGGACAATGGCTCCAGAAATTCAAACAGCAAATAATGATGGTGACCTCTTGGGATCCCACCAGACAGTGCAGGACAGCGCAGACAGAATCCCAGCCTGGTTTGTGTTGGAAGGGACCTTAAAGCTCATCCAACTCCAACCCCTGCCACAGGCAGGGACACCTTCCACTAGAGCAGCTTGCTCCAAGCCCCTGTGTCCAACCTGGCCTTGAACACTGCCAGGGATGGGGCAGCCACAGCTTCTCTGGGCACCCTGTGCCAGCGCCTCAGCACCCTCACAGGGAAGAGCTTCTGCCTAGTATCTAATACCTGAGAGCTATTGACTGCTCAACACCCACTTAACCTTGCCTGTATTTTGGTCTGGCATTACTTTGCTCTACCCACATGGGATATCCTAGACCCAGAAACCAGTCTTAGGCAGCAAGGACATGAACCTGCAGGGCACCAAGCTGCTTTAGCTGTTTTTATGGAACAACTTGGTTCTATGCCCAAGCTGGCTTGATTTTCAACAGTGGGGCAAAACATGTATAATGTTTTTAAGCACATACAACAAATGTCAATGACTGTGCACGGGCACACCTCGGTTTTCATAAAGCCAAACTATCTTGAAAGACACAATTATGCTGCACAGCACTACATGTAAAATGCACTGAGAGGCACAAATTTCAACACACAGCCCCAAATTAAGGCGTTACATCCATAGATTGTTTCTTTCTACATTAAAGAAACCACATGCTTGGATTATGCATAAGTTGGATCATGCCATTATGAAGCATTTTGGCAGGAGAAAGCTGCTCACCTTCATTTGTGTTTAGGGCACAAATTAAGATTGAAAGGACATCCATATAAATAAGACCTTAGTGAATGCAACAGATTCAGCTCTCCATCAGCAATCCAACACTGAAGGTTAAAAGGAACTGAGGAAGCCAAATAAGAATTCCAGTGGAGTTCGTCCTTGTGCATGCACCTATGTGCCTTAATAACCACTGCTTTGATGTTTTTCCTAAGCTCCTCACTGCTTCTTATACGCACCTCCTGGAACAGAAGAGATTGCTCTTACTTGTTGGCGAAAGTTCTCCCACCCTGCAGGAGACCACTTTACTCTCATCAACGTCTTCAACGCCTTCAAGGAAGCCAGCACAAACTCCACAAGCCAATGTAAGTGTACCCAGAGCATTCGACGTGAAGCAAGTTGTAAGCAATTTGGAACAAACCCAAAACCTGAGCTGTCATTGTTGGCACTTAGTTCATAGGCCCTCTTTGAATGACTCCATCCAGAATTGCTGACTTGCAGGGAGAAACCAAAGATAGAATAAATAGAACAGTTTGGGTTGGAAGGGACCTTAAAGCTCACCCACTTCCAACCCCCTGCCACAGGCAGGGCCGCTTTCCACTAGAGCAGGTTGCTCCAAGTCCCATCCAACCTGGCCTAACCAGTACAAAGGAATATTAGTTTCAGGTTTTTAACTAGCTGAAAATGACCTAGGACAGCATACATCACCCAACAAGGATACCTAAACACTATTACAATGGTCACTTGAAGTGACATTGTACAAAACCAGAATGATGGTTCCTCTTGTAACAGCAGATAATCCAGGTTTAAAATGTAAAACACCACAAACACAGTTGAGGAGGGGCTGGATTCCCCCAGCAGCTGCACAATTCTGGTGGCTTTCTGATAGCCTTCAACTTAAAGTTTAAAGGGTAAAAAAATCAAAGTTCAGATTTACAGGAAACCAAATAGAAGTCAGGAGACAGAAGCTCTTCACAGCATTTCCCTGTGTGCAAGCATCTTGCTCAGGTTCATTTAGCCTAAGCCCAGTAATTAGGCAGAGGAGTGATGAATTTGCCTATACTAAGCAAAAGCTTAAAGGACAGTAGGGTTCCTTCATGTTCAGTCATGTTAAATGCTGGAGAGGTGCAAGAGAACCTGTCTTTTCCCAGCATGCAGGATCATCACTAGCACTATAGGTGCGATTCCAGTTCCATACCCTGAAAGCCTGGAAACACAGCTGCTACTCCTTTTACCCTTTACAGACCAAATAAGAGATGTTGCACAGTTTTATTCAAAGATATAGTTTCAAATCAGTAAACTTAAGGGTATCAATTACTGCCCCTCACTTCACAACATCAGTGAACCCAAGCTGTCCATACAGCTCTTGCTACCTTAATATTGCCAGCTCTGACACAGCCACTCTGTTTTGATCTATTGCACCAAAGAGCATTTCACAGAGCAGTATCTCTATGGATAGTACCCATCACAAAGACTTTGCTTTAAGCCAAACCTCTTTGTTCCTCCACAGACTACAGCACTGAGAAATGGTGTCGTGATTATTTTCTAAGCAGCTCTGCCCTGAGGATGGCAGAAATTATCAGAGCTGAACTAGTGGAGATAATGAAGCGAATTGAACTTCCCATCTCAGAACCGGACTTTGGATCCAAAGAAAATATACTCAGCATTAAGAAATCTCTCTTATCTGGTTACTTTATGCACGTAAGGAAAAATGCTGTGGTTTCATCTTACTGCATTATGTTAGACAGAATGCTTTCAGAGAAGTTAAGTTAGGTAATGAAACCTTGCTCAGCAGAAAGGATAAAAGCCATTTTTTCCAGCGTATCAAACACTTGTGCCAATTCCAATCTTCTCTCTGGGGTTCAGCTATCACAGCATGAAGCCCACACACTTCACTGCAAGAGGAAAACTGTCAATATGCCTTTCACTCAAAGAACTATTTTCCTTCAGAAACCTCTTTGACTTGTAATATTCTCTCAGACGTTGAAAGTTGTTGCTGTGAAAACACCCTGGAAAACAAGAACCAACTTAGTATGTTTAGGCACACGTAACACACAGCTTTCTTCATCTCAGCCAAAGGAGGTACACTAACTGTAACTGAACACATAAATAAGATTGACTTATTCCCACTTTAAGACATGCTTTCCTTCACATCACTACGCTCCACCTAATAAAATGACCCGTGCGACCTACCCTACTACAAGGGCTGCACATTGTATTTTAAAGCCTTCCAATCCTTTAATACATCAGTTTCCATACAGACCCTTCAAAGGCAAGTTCAGATACTTACTGTATAAGCCTGCCCTCATCTACTGCAGTTTCAACTATACAGATGAACAATTTCTTTAACTCCAAGCCTCATTTCACAGTATCCAGATATTTCTTTCCCACAGATATTTGGGAAGAATACTGATATTGAGGCTCTCTAGTTCAAAGTATCTGAACGCAAGTTTAATTCCTGGTTTTAATACAATAGGCAAATACTGATCTATGCATCTTGTACAATCAATGAAGTAATGGACAACCCCTTGCATATTTGTTTTTTAGATTGCTCGTGATGTGGATGGCTCAGGCAACTACTTAATGTTAACACACAGACAAGTGGCCCAGCTTCATCCTTTCTCATCTTATTATAACAGCAGAAAGATTCCAGAGTGGGTTTTGTTCCACGAGTTTAGTATATCAGAAGACAATTCCATCCGAGTAGTCTCCGAGATATCACCTGATCTGTAAGTTAACAATGATGAAACTGTTTCTTCAGCCATACCTCTAGCACAAAAGCACAACTTAAGTCACAAAATTGTTAAAGATATGTGCTGTACATTGAGAACAACGCTTGGAGCAAGCAGCTCCCTTACCTGTCATAAAAACTACCCAGTCAGAATCCCAGCCTGGTTTGTATTGGAAGGGCCCTTAAAGCTCACCCAGCTCCAGCCCCTGCCACGGGCAGGGACCCCTTCCACTAGAGCAGCTTGCTCCAAGCCCCTGTGTCCAACCTGGCCTTGAACACTGCCAGGGATGGGGCAGCCACAGCTTCTCTGGGCACCCTGTGCCAGCGCCTCAGCACCCTCAGAGGGAAAAGCTTTTGCCTAAGATCTAATAGCTAAGCTGTCATCACTGGAGGGATGAAGAAATGGTTGCTTTTCACGCTTTTCATATTCCCTAGTGAATATATGTGGGATAAATGTAATTTCATTGTTGCCAGTATTGTTCTGTCACTGTGTGTAGCTTTGCTTGATGTCTGTCTGCCCTGTCATTCAGAACACTCACTGCATTAGAGCTCACATCTGTTAAAAAAGGGAAGAACTGTGATCTCACCCCATCACTATTCTTTTCATGCAAACCAAAACATCATGTAAGCCAGCCTTTTGTATTTCCTAACGTGCTGATCTGTTCAGGTACTGCCACTGCAACTGTAATCAATGCATCCACTGAATAAACACCTGACAAGTGGCAAAAGTTACTTAGAAGGTAAAATATAAGGCAAAAAAAAAAAACATTAAGGAAGAGTTAACAGAGCTGTGTACTCATAGATTAATCTTACTGGAAAACTCTGTTCCCTGAAAACCGATTTTGCAGCAAATCTTTCTCTTGACATATCTTATGTACCCAGCCACCTAAATCATTCCGTATCAACTGTTTATGGATTCAAGAGAAGACTACAGTCTTCCTTCTGAAAAAATCTCTTTACATCAAGAATATACATTTCACTGTCCTATCTTTTCTATTTCCAATGCCTCTAAGAAAGCCTTTTTCATCATTTTATTGAACCACAAATATGTTCAAATGCAGAAAAGTTACTATTTAATTCAATCTGCAGCACTGAGGCCTGAATGAACGTCACCTGAAGTATGGACTGAGTACATTGCCAGTCTCCCAAAACCACACACTATTACTACATCTTGCAGATTCTGTGTTTGAGTTGAAGCGCCAGCACCATGCTGCTGCTGTCTTTTGTACAAGCCTGGAAATAGCTATTCAAACATTTCCAATTCAATTAAAAGATATTCACAATGTTTTGTCTTATTTCCTCACCAGGTTCGTGGAGCTGGTTCCTCAGTACTACTTTAGCAACCTTCCTCCCAGTGAAAGCAAGGATATTCTGCAGGAGGTGATCAATCACTTGTCACCTGCTTCAGCCATGAAGGAGGAACAGAAAACTAATGATGACAAAGAAAATGAACAATTTCCCACTCCCACTGAACAAAGATGTACTATTCAGTGAATTTAGACCGAACCATCATACATCAGACAAATACAAATAAAAGCAGTACATGAAATATCCATCTCCATCTTAACCAAAGAAATCATTTCAAACTTTTGAAATAAATGTATTTAACAGAAGAAACATACAGAAAAAAGCTTTTTCTTCCTTATGTATGTGTTATTTCATAACAAAAATATACAATTTAGTTTTGGTTAAAAACATATTGAGCAGATCTTGACATTTTCTTGTTACACTTTTTTTATTGACTGTTTAATGGTGATAACAATATATCATAAAACAGAATATTTAAAAATATTAATTTCATAGATATTTTTATTTGTACCATCTCCTTGTCTTCTAAATGTACAGAGGAAGCATTTGAGCAGCAGAAAACCATTAATACCACAGCAGCCTTCTGAAAACCCTAAAGTCATAGTTCTGCATGGCTGCTTTATAAAACCCAGTGTTTATAGGAAATCTCAGACTGAGAGATAGTCTTTCAGTTTATCCATAATGGCATGAATTCCATCAGCTGGAACTATCATAACAGTACGCAAGGGTTTCATTGGTACATCATCAAAGGACCATCTGCCACCCAAACAAGTGTCGCTTTCCTCTTGCACAGAGTAGTTGAACTTCAGAAGGGCTTTCTAAACAACAGAAAGAGATGTGTTAGGATCCAATTTTGTCATTGGAATGAAGATAATACATCATCAAAGTAAAAACAATGACCCTATTGATGCACACACTTATTAAGAAGTTATTTTCTTCCCTTTCAGAAGGTCCACCAAAAAAACCTTCAAGAGAACCCACTGTTAAGTGTTTCAAACTATTTGCTTTCCACAGGATTTATATCATTCATACTAAACTCTAAAATGATTGCTATTATTATAGTTTGGTATCAGAAAAAAGACCTAAGGGGCAGAGAGAAAGCCCCTTCATTATGCTTACTCTGCCTACTTTTAGGTGGTTTTAATACAACATCTTATTCCCTATTATCACATTAAGAAACGCTGACCCTTAGAAGCTTTTGTGCCAACTAGCAGGTATCCTTGACCAGTAACAGGAATATCAGGCCTTTAAACAGACCTTCAGACCCAGAACACGAACAAATCAGTAGCTGGGTAATTTTGAGCCTTAGGAGATCAGCCAAAAGCCAGATAAAAGGAACAGGGAGAGAGTGAACATGGAGTAGAGCCTTCCCTAAAGATGACAGCTTGGTGTGGGTAACAGAGGTCTGTAGCACCGAACAGGCTCTGCTATTTCCATGGCCTATTCTAAAACTGCTCCTAAAATTAATGTTATCTGTAAGAATATGTGGTACAGCAATCCCCTCTTTCACACTGCCACTAGAAATGAAGCATTAAGGGAATGGGCATTGACATGAATCCTGAGTGGAATTTCGAAAGCTCTTGTAAAGCCTGTAGATGGCTGGAGCCACCAAAAGACATATTATAAATGACGATGCTTCAAATAGGTAGGTGTCCATAATGTGCATTATTTCATTCCAGTGATACATACTGCATACAGATCTAACAGTCCTTTTTTATTAGCTTTCCCAGGCAAAACGCCTGATGGAGAAGAAAAACTTATCTAACAAACGTTTGTAGTTCTCACACAAGTCAGATTAAGAAGCATGAGCTGAATTCCTAATTAGAAGAACTTATCTAACCTCTTCCCTTGGAGGGTAAGTTAAGCTCCAGTCTCCTTTTAGGTTTGCTATTTCCCAACAGTATCTCAAGGTTGTAAATTTGATTTCGGAAAACCCATCACGTTAATGGAGTGGCTTTGCTCAACAACAAACAATCTGAGCAATGGAGGCCCTAAACCTTTAATCAATTCCAGTCTGGTTATAGCAGAGCTTTTCTTCTGCTCCCTCAATAATGTTTTCAAGAACAGAATAAAGCACAGGGAACTGACAAGTGCAAAAAGGCTTCTCTCTGGTTTATATGGCTCCAAGTGTCTGCCTGACTGCACTTAATACTATTTTATTGCAATCTAATTAACATTATGCATGATCAGGGAGGATATACACACCAACACTAATATAACACATAAACATTATAAAGTCCAGAGAGCAAATTAATCTACTATCCTCCATAACATTCAAAATGAATTTGTTAAAAACACTAGAAAGGCTGTTAAAAAGAAAAGCATGTTCAGTTTGTGTCTACCCATTTGAGCTGAAAATTACTGCAGTTTAGATAAAAGTCTTTAAAATACCATCAAAATAACAAAACAGATAAATACAAAACAGGCCTCCAGGAACATAAGCCATAAGGACAAACGGGCATCACAGGCTTCTCCCCTTTTAGTTCTTCAATAACATGTTTACAGAGTTCAAGTCCAGTTGATAAAGATGCTGGGGCAGGAAAACAGAAAGCAAACCCGGAACTTGTTACTGCATAGAGGCTACATCAGTATTCCCTATAGCTAACAAGGAATTCATCCACTTCCATTTTTCTTCTTCCCAAGAAATAAAATTACAGCCATATCATAGCCTCCACCAGAGAATGCCGTGAATGATCACACAGAGGAAGCTTTGCCATTAAACATGATGCATGTGCAAGTATTTTATCCTGTAGGCACCGCCAGAAATGAGAAACAAGTCTCTTGACAAAGCAGCAATATTGTAGAATAATATTTTTAGTTCCATAAAAAAAAAAATCAAGAACAATGAAAAACTCTGTGCATTTCAAAGTATATTTTTGATTTCATTTCCTGCATCTTCCCCTCTCCTGATCTGACTTGGGACCAGTAGAATTGTGTAGACACGTTGCCTTAGGAAACAGGAAGTAATATTTTCATCTCAGTATTTTAGTACTTTTTATTAATATATTTGTCCTGAGTAGGATAGAGACAGGAAAGGAAGGTGACAGCTGCTTCTTCAGAGAATCAGCAGTTTGTATTCCGAGCATTTTTTGAAGGTAACTGGTATCCAAAAGAGAACAGATAAATCATCTTTCCACAGCAAAGAAAGTTGGGGCTGTTCAGCCTGGAGAAGAGAAGGCTGCGTGGAGACCCCATAGCAGCCTTCCAGTATCTGATGGGAACTACAAGGATGCTGGGGACGGACTCTTCATTAGGGACTGTAGTGATAGGACAAGGGGTAACGGGTTAAAACTGAAACCAGGGAAGTTTAGATTGGATATAAGGAAGAAGTTCTTTACTGTGAGGGTGGTGAGGCACTGGAATGGGTTGCCCAGGGAAGTTGTGAATGCTCCATCCCTGGTGGTGTTTAAAGCCAGGCTGGATGAAGTCTTGGGTGATATGGTTTAGTGTGAGGTGTCCCTGCCCATGGCAGGGGGGTTGGAACTGGATGATCTTAAGGTCCTTTCTGATCCAAACCATTCTATGACAGTGACAATAACACAAATGCAGAGCTTTGCATCTATTCAGTTGCTTAGGAAAAGATCTCAAGAGAAATGTGTTTAACTGCATTACCAAAAAAAAAAGCCTCAACAGCTGCTTTTTTTCTGACACAGGACTAACTATGTAGGGGCAAGCAAAAGAGATCTGTGTATTTAAGTATTACCATGCAGTGAGGATGCTGATGGAGACTCTAACAACAGAAATCCCCTGTATTTTTTTCCAATCTTTGCTCTTCTAAGCGCTTGAAGCTGTGACACATGATTAAGTTAGAGAACCCTGGCAAGCTACTACCTGTTGTTTGAGCTGCCACTCTCAAACACTTGTGTTGTAAACCACATTAGCTTGAATCCCACTGACAGATACTCAGCTAACCTGCACTTCCTGCAATTCACACACCCAGTCTTCTCTGTTCATCTGACACAGCAGTTTAACATGTCTTTCGAATTTTTATTATTCAGATTAAAGAAGACAACAGCAGCTCCCCCCATAAAAGGGATTTCAGACTTCTGTAAACTCAAAAAGCCTGAGACATGCTGCTAAATTCAATATCCAGGTTTATTACCAGTTGTTCATTCTAAAAATGTGGATATTCCATTCACAGTGTTTCAACAAGTCTGACCGTTACTACATTCAATTCAATCTCTTCAGCACTGCTATATGTGTAAAGAGAGATGAAGTTTCTTAATTCTTCAAGGCCAAGACACTGGCCTCAAACCAAAGTAAAACCTGATCTTTCCCCTGAAATCTCTGCTTATTCCAGGCATTCTCTGAAATTTTCCATTATCCTCATAGCACTGGAGACTCTATCATGTAGGAACACTGCCTGTGCCACACCATCCCATAGTCAGGTTCATTGTGACCTGATACAAGTAACATATTAGTAAATTCATGCCAATATAGAGGATCAATTTAATCATTTGGACTTATGGATGTCATACCTCTCCCTCATTCTCTAAATACAAAGGTGTTGGGTTCAATACAGAAAAGTAAGTTGCCTGCCCATCTCTCAACACTGCTCTAAAAAAAGATGGATCTAATTGAAACAATATGTGAACACACCTTTAAAAATCCTTCCCTGAATTATAAAGGGAAACACCTTTTCTGCTGACACGTAAAAAGCAAATAACCATTTTAAATTAAAAGAATCACGTTACCTCATAAAAGAATTCTTCCTCTGCATTTGCAAACATTAATTCCTCCTTTTGCTGATGTCTCCCTCCCTTCTTCTTAGAATTGCTCTTTGTGGCTTCTGTAAAGGTCTTGCCGATAAGGAGATAGTAGTGGCACTTTCCACATGGTTTGTTTGTTCTCTGTGCCTCACTCAACTCCTTCCTAAAGACAAATAAATGTTTACACATACTATTTAAAAATACATCTACATACACAATTCATACCCTCAACAGGAGTGTAACCAAACCTTACAGTGCATCAGAAGGTACATCACACTGTCACTTCATGAGGAACTGTAACTGAAGAGCCAGAAAATACTCTTGCCCACCCTTGTGTTAAACATGACACCACTGCAACACTCCAACCCCTGTAAGACAGAGGCTGAGATCTGAATTTGAGTTGTGACAAGTGTTGTACTAGTGGTAAACCTCAAAGCTAAGTTTCAAGCACCTAATTTATTTCTCTAAAAACCTTCCTGACCAACCCTATCTACACGTTTTCTTTCACTATCAGTGTGTTAATTCCTTAAAGGTCTCATTATCAGTATGCTATAAGAAGTTCTCAGTTTTAAGTTTTCCTAGATCAATGGGAAAACAATCTGCAAGACAAACTACAACATACACACAGCTATTTCTGCAGCAGAACAGCACACATTTTTCAATGATTCCCTGTGTCTTAAAGAGTTTGAAAAGCCTAAAGATATAAACAATTTTAAGAAATTAACTAAAGACCTTACATGAGATGAAAATACTTGTGTTCGTGCATTATTTATAGCTATACTATCACCTATCTTAACATAGTTCTACATACATAGATTGCTGAAAAAATATGAAGAAATCATGTCAAAACAACCCCAAACTTACTGAAGCTGCTGGTGCATGGGCAGAGCAATCTGTGGTGGTACATTAATGAATCTTTCACTCAGTATAAGACCCACAGGCTTAGTACTATCACTTAGGAGCTTATTCAGTTGTTCAACTACGTGCTGTTCACAGCTCTTCTCACACCGACTTAGAACCAGCTCTTTGATTTGTTCAACACACTGTGTATCCTGAAAGAAAGACACATGTATCTTTATATACTAAAATGTATATTTTCCTTACATTATACAACAACTATTAACACAAAGAAACTTGAATGTGAACTTCCAGGGAATACTCTACAGACCTACTGGTGATTTCTTTAAGCACTCTGTACAAGTTCTCTGGAATTATTTACCAACCCTGAAGCTGAGGGCACACAAAGGTTCTCAACTGACAGGAGAGCAGTGAGGAGTTGCAACACCAGTATACTCACCAGCAAAATTCAAGCTGCAAAAGATGACAGTGAAGAAACACAAGAGGCTGACAGCTCAGTTACCCTGGGCCTAGGGTAAGACCTAGTTTTAACTCTCTATTCCATTCCTGGCCTTATGTTTGACCTTGACCAATGAAAGCAAGCTATGTGATGTGCAACTTTTACGACCATAGTCCTCCATGGTGGAAATCAAAATCCTGATCCAGCTGCCCTAGGCTTGTTATACAAGGCAGAAAAGCAAGACACAGTCTCATTACTGTCTAGATGTCAATGAGGAATAACTAACCATAACATACCTTCCTTTCTGTTAAGTTTAAGCAGCTAATGAAACCAAAGACTTCATCATCATCTTCATCATCATCACTGTCTTCTTGGACTTCTGCTTGCTGTTTAATAATAGAAACAGAATGTCAATATGAGTTGTTGCTATTTCTACTCTGCAGCAAAAAATGGCTTTCTTTCCAAAAGATGCTCAGCAGATGAGAACCATCCACATAATCTCTACAAACACACAACCTACACATTCTGGTTACAGTCATTGAGCCTGTGTACTTAGAGCCAGCTCTAGAGACAGCCAGTTCATGTATCTTCCACAGCAGGATTTTTGGAAAGGCACTAAAATTTGATAGCTCACATTTAATAAGAGACAACTTGGTACAAGGCACGGCAATATCTTAAGCAAAACCAATTTCCTTCAGTTTCTAACATAGGGAATTAAACCTGCAAAGTCATAAAACCCACAGAGCAACAGGGCTTTGACAGTGAAACAAAAAGCTCCACAAAACTCTGCTGTGAAAAAAGCTGGGGAAAGAACTGGGGGTCATACAGCTGTAATGGAAGTGGGTGGAAAAGTGTAATGAATGTGGGTGGAAAAAACATTGTCACAGGACAAAAAGGGAATGTACAGCAATGACACCAAGCAACACGGTACAACAGCACCACTGTGCCACAGGGGTTGTCTGTCTGGGTTTGAAAGCAACATGGCCTTCACATCTTGAGCACTGTACAGTACTGAACAGCTTCCTTAGACAGGAATAACTCAGGAGCCCTGCAGAGTGCTCCACTGCCTTAGCAGAACCTGACCAGGACTCATTTTGGAATCCTTTCCTATATCCAGAGAATTCTGTGCAAAAGGAAATGGCATGCAGGATATTTCTTGTCTATATCTCTATACATCCTGAAATGACAAGGTCCTATTTCTTATGGAGATGACCACAAACTTCTCCATAACACTGTCAGCATTATTATTCTACTACACCAAAATTCAGAGGAAAAAGTGAAAAGGCTTCCACATGTAAAAAAGAAACCAGCCAAAATAATAAACCAAATTCCTTGTTTGGTTGAAAGTAGGCATGGAAAATTTCAGCTCCTAGAGAAGAATTCCTCTCAAAGCTAAAAAGAAAGCAAGCATACAAGGTACAGATCCAGAGTCCCCTTCTGAATGTTTGTTGTGTCATTTCAACATAACAAGTATAGTACTCCATTTACAAACTCTTTCTTACCTTGATAATACTTCCAATATGATTCTGTTGTATTAATATATCAGTTAATTCAGCAGTGTTAACAGGCGCTTTTAGAAACAACTGGAAAACAGGAAACAAGTATTAACAAGCTTTAGGTACTATGATACATCATGGGCCACTCTAGAAATTCAAGTCAGCAATTTCTCTAAGTAGAAATATTCCATTCCACTTTTAATTTCCATTTAGTGATATAATACTTCAATACAATACTGTAAAGACTAAAAATCAGCTTCTTGAAGCTCCTCAACCCTCCATACACTAGCATTTTGCATACCTGCTATCCTTTGAATTTGCTATGATCTGAATGCTTGCTGAGCAACAGAAACAGTCAAAAGAAGACTGGAAGCTGCCACATTAAGCAGACACATTACTTGTTTGTCTCTTTTTAAGGGCTGTCACCTACAGGAAGATCTCCAAGAAGTTGATTAACACTGAACAAGGTTTTCTGAGCAGCAAGCAACACAGTGAAGATGGAAAGATTATACACACTATGGAATAACAGCCCTACAGCTCACTGGGTAAATTTCTTGAAACTGTGGTATAGGAGACACGTGTTGACTATGGCTGTAATTCAATCTTCATCAGCTGAAGTACAGTAAAACTATGACACAAAACAGATTATGTGAACCGGTGACTTTAGATATTATTTATCAATGGCTATATCAACCAAGCTAACAAGAAGTCAAAAGTACCTGTTGTAGTAACTTCCTTATCCCGTTATAGTCACTGTCTGATATGGAATGTGCCTCAAATTCAATATTCACTTCCTGGGAAGAGGTAAAATAAGAGAATATCAAACATACTTGGCAAGAAGTTATATCAAAACAAAGCTAAACTATAACAAACCTGAAAAGAAGTATTAGTCAACATCAGAAATAGAACTTACTTCCATCTTTGAGTAATCTCAGCACCAGCTAGGGATTACCATTTCTTCTGCAATCTTTAGAGAGCATCTGTAAAAGTAACTTTTTAAACTAACTTACAAACTGTGCTGTGAACGAGCCTTTAACACTTAGTTCCTGCAATGTGGTTCACACAATTATGCTGACTGTAGCCACTTAAGACTTACTGTAGAGGCTTGATCCAGGCAGTTAAACTCTTGAAACTGTGGGATGGGAGTGTAATGCCTTGGCTAAAGATGAAAATTGCTGCACGTATTTAGGCAACTGCATCCAAAATGATGCTTCTGCTGTTTCCTCAAATCCTAATGGAAGTCTGCTCAGTAGCTGCATGATGAGACCCAAGCACAGCAAAATCAGAATGTGAACTCCTGCTTCTCCTTCCAGAACAAATGCTGTGCCTACAAAACATTTATACTGGTGTTCTGTACTAACAGTACTGCCTGCCAAGGTGGCTCTGCCTACCTGGTCTTCTGAGAACCACTGCTCAAGATGATCCAAATTTTGCCTTAGAGCTGGCAGTTAGTATTCCACTTTCTGACCAATCTAGACAACTGAACCTTACTTTTACCACCAGTTCAGACTCATAACTCTCTTCAACCCCATATCGTGGCCACGGTCTTTATTGTCCACTGGGAGAACAGCTTTAAAGCCCTGTTTATAATGTAGAAAACAAGTATATAGCCACCTGGGAGGGAGTAATAAAAATCAGGGGAGATGTTTGGATATTCTTCCATGGTCTAGCAAAGCAAGAACACTCTATAGAAGTAACTGAGAGCGTATGATTTATAAATGCAAGAAAACAGCTTATATCTTTGGCATATACAGCATTCAGTCCTAGCATCTAGGAACTTTCCAAGTACTTTAAAATCCAAGGATCCCACTGAATGATTAAGCCAGTAAATTCTGAACGAAACACAGCTTACAGTGGTTCTGAATACTGTGCAAATCATAGCCATAAAATCGATATAAATCGATTAATAAATCTGAATACTGTGCAAATCATAGCCATAAAATCGATGGGAGCAATAGATTTGCTAATACTGGTCTTGCTTCATGGCTTTTTCCACTACCCCAAATAATAGCTTGGTATGACAGAGTTTACAAACCCTCCATCTTTCATCTATTAAAAAACAAAACAGGCAAATAAAGACCCATCATATATTGTGGTTTGTTCAGTCTTGCTGCTGTGGGCTTATTTTCTTCCCTTCTGTTGCATCCAAAGCAAGAGCCTGCAAAGCAAACAGTAACATGCAACAATACTCGGCTACGTACAACACAGCAGTGAGCAAAGATCTATCTCAACAACCAAGCCCTGCCTGGCAATCATACTGCTGTCAGACTGGCAACAGAACCACATGCCCCCTTTAATGATGAGAACATCTGCATAAAAGAAGAGATTTTCCTTTTTCCACATGACGTGGGAAGTGGTGCAGGGAAAGGCTAATATGGCAAAAATAAAAAGGCTGAGAATTAGGGAGAAACAAATGGCCTTTAGCTATATGGCTTTACAAATCTCTGAGTTTCTACAGCTATGTCCAGTACATTAATACAGTTTGGAGCCATGTAGTCTAGGCCACGCTTTGCTGAGAAACGTTGGACTACATGATCCCTGAGTTCTCTTCCAAGCTGGTATTCTGTGATTCTGTGCATATTAGCAATGCACACCTTAATGCCTTACACAAGAATCTAGGAAAACCCAATATACCTTCAGATATCTTCCCTGTGAGGGTGCTGAGGCGCTGGCACAGGGTGCCCAGAGAAGCTGTGGCTGCCCCATCCCTGGCAGTGTTCAAGGCCAGGTTGGACACAGTGTTCAAGGCCAGGTTGGAGCAAGCTGCTCTAGTGGAAGGTGTCCCTGCCCGTGGCAGGGGTTGGAACTGGATGAGCTTTAAGGTCCCTTCCAACACAAACCATTCTATGATTCTATCAAGACTTCCAAACTGAAACATGTAATAGTACTACAGCATCCTCAAACATTGGACCACTAAGTTAAAATTAGCATTATACTGCGAATTTATCCAGCATACAAACAACTGTAAAAAGCACAGTCGCACATACCAGTGCAGGACACTCAGAACCGCCCCCAAACCCCATGACTGAAGACTCAAGAAACCCTGTCCGCAAACACAATGAAAACCACTGTCCTACCTACATTACACAGGAACACTGTGCACTTAAAGGAAAAAAAAGGGGCGGGGGGGATATTATTATTGCCATTAGCTTTAATTTCACAGTATTTACACAGTAATGCAACATCTTTTACGTGTTTATAAACACCGAACCGTACAGACAGTACCAGCAGTGGTAGTCAGCATCTTCATAAACAAGTTAGTACCCATTTAAAGCGGCACATGTTTATAGCCCACAGTAAATGCTCTTTTCCATCAGGGTAGTTTGACTGATTAACACGATTACCTCTCACTTTTCATCACGAGATAGTTTTTTACAAAGGCAGGGCTTGCTTTGTTGATCTACTAACAAAAGCTAAGGCTTCAGCTAAGAAAAGGGAAGCCCATGGACTCAAAGTGAAACCCTAGGGAAAACAAGTTAGCAAAACACTGAAGTTGGAATGTACTCAGTTAAAACAATCAATAATGCTACCATAGAATCACTGAATCCCAGCCTGGTTTGTGTTGGAAGGGACCTTAAAGCTCAGACAGCTCCAACCCCTGCCACGGGCAGGGACACCTTCCACCAGAGCAGCTTGATCCAAGCCCCTGTGCCCAACCTGGCCTTGAACACTGCCAGGGATGGGGCAGCCACAGCTTCTCCATTGACTCTTTTTGAGCCCTGTGAAAAATCAGAGATTGCTTTACCACCCGAACATCTTACTAAGAATTTACAGTCAGTGCGTATCTCCTCGTAGAAAAAAAAAGAGACTCCTCCCTCAGTGTCATGCTCCACAGCTAAGTAATGCATTTTCCCGCATGTCCGAAAGAGAGCTCAGAAAAAAAGACGTTAAAATCCTATTTCCGTGAATTCTGATGCTTTTTATTCTCCTTCCCCTCATTTTTCTCTTTCCTTCCTCCCCTTCCCCTTCCACACAAAGGAAACCGGAGCAAACCCTCTGCGGTGAAGGCATGGCATTCCAGCGTGCCACCGGCACACTCGGAAGGGCCCAGCCTAGGCTTGAGCACAGGAACCCACGGCCCCACGCTGGGCCCCGACCCACGACTGCCTCGAACGGGGTTTACAAAGGGAACCCCCCCCTTCGCCGGCACCTCCGCCACCACAGCCGCTTGTTTGTTCTCTTCAGCAGCCGGCTGAGGGGCAGCCGTGAGGGGAGGGCCCTGCTCCCCCCCCCCCACCCCGCTCACCTCATCGATCGCCTCCTCCTCCTCCTCTTCTTCCTCCTCCGAGTCCGACTCGCTCGACTCCGGCTCAGACCCGGACTCGGAGCCGCTCTCCTCGGCTGGGGGCTGCGGCTGGGCCCGCCGCTTGGCCGGCGTGGCCATGTCACCGCGGCGCGCAGGCGCTCGGTACCCGGAAGGCCGCGGCGGAGGCAGGCGCGGGGAGGCCCGGCTGCCGGCGCTGTGCGGCCCTCAGGGCCCTGGTGGGGCCGGGCCGGAGCAGCGCGGGGTGGGGGCAGTGTCCGGCACAGCTCTGCCGGCGGGAGGTGGGGTACGTCCGCAGGGAAAGGCCGTGGGGAGCTGGGAACGGGTCTGAGGCTTGCGAAGGGTGTTTGGGGCGCGGGGGAAGGGGGGTCCCGTGTCGCCCCTCTCCTAACCCTAACCTGGTGTAGGTGTGCGTCAAGTGTTGCAGCTCCCTGCCTGGCTGGAGCATCTGTCCTCGGTACATTAAACCCATTCCCCTTGGCCTGTCCCTACAGGCCCTTGTCCCAAGCCCCTCTCCAGGTTTCCTGCACCCCCTTCAGGCACTGGAGCTGCTCTCAGGTCTCCCCTTCAGGAGCCTTCTCTTCTCCAGGCTGCCCCAGCCCAGCTCTCTCAGCCTGTCAGTGCATATTTGAGCTTTAACTTCTTCGCTGTTTGAATGCATATGGGCATGGTTTTGGTTTGAAGATGTGCTTTGTCCCTCTTAGGGATGTTGTCAGCCTTCTCACTGCCTGGTGTCATTTTGGCTCGATCCCCAGTGATGTGTCTGCAGTGGTAGGGCGCACTTGCTAAGAAAGTGTTGGGTCTGAGGACCATTGGAAATGGGTTTATTCTACCCATTTTGATTTGGTCACATCTGTCACCAAATCTGTGTGAACCTTGTATGTGGAAAGGACAGAACAGTCTGGGAGGTTTATGGCTTGTAAGAAGTGATTTTTTCAGCAGTAAAACCAAAAGCAGCCACAGAATACTTGCAGATTAAAATACCTATTATTTGGGAATGCGCAAACTTAATGGATTCCCTGGGTCAAATCTGTCTTCTCATGGACATTGCAGCCCTTCTGTGGACTTGATAAACTCCCCAAGCCGAGTCTGTTTTGCCCATGCTGGTTTATTGGTGAGTGATCTCTCCCTGTCATTATCCCAAGCCACGAGTCTTTCCGTGTGTTTTCTCTCCCCTGTCCAGCTGAGGAAGGGAGTCTATAGGAAAGTAACAAGATAATTCAGGTAAATGGGCAGTTGGTGGGTTTCTGTTTATATTATTGCAGGTGTTTGCTTTGATGCTTGGTTTATTTGCTTATGTGTCCTTACAGGCTTTGATTTCAGCACCAAAGGCAGCTTTTAAGGAACTGAGAACAATCATTTTCCATGTAATGGCAGAGTATGTATTTTTCAGGCTTGTCTTGTTTCCTGTAGATATGTAAGAGAAGGCATATGAATACTGTATATATGATACTCCGATGTATAAATGGGTGTACATATACACATGTACATTTGTGGTTTTTAAACACTGCCCGGCGTGTTTTCCCCTTTGAAAAGGGGGAGAGCCAAATGCATCAAGTGAAATCCCTTGATACATAACCCCTTGTGTACTTGTTATGATGAGCATAAGGTGAAAACTAGCATGAAATGACTGAACAGAGTAAGTTTTTACAGATAGGAGCTTATTAGGTTGCTGCTCATGGCTGCATTGTAGGGGTTATTAATTCTTTTACAATGTATTCTCCTTGATGACTTTCATTACAGTTTCTCCCTTAAGCAATATTATCTAAAGGCAGCATGTTATTTGTTGGTCTTATCAGGGTGGATATTCCTGCCCAGAGAATGTACGTTAACTGCTGACTCATTGTGAAGAGAGCAGTGCAGCTGTTAGCAGCCCAGTTTCTTAGGAGCTGAGCTATTAAAGTCATTGTTCAGTAGAAAGTCCTCTAGATCTAATTTAGATAATTTCCATTATTGTATTTCAGAGTTCTGCTGCAATTATTTGGTAAACAATGAAGGTTCTGTTGCTGAAGGATCCCAAAGACAAAGAGTCGGGACCAGATCCCTATATTCAAGTGAGTAGACTTCAGGAAAAGTAAATGTGTCACTTCGCTGTTATCATGCATTCAGCAAGATGGATGGATTTAACTGTTTCAAATGAAAAACATGCTTAATCGAAATGAGGAGTGTGTGTCTGAAATGATATTTCATAGGAAAAATAATCAAAATGTATGTTTAAATAATCAAAATGTATGTTTCAATCATGCCAAGGAAAAAGTATGCTATAAAATTTGCTGTTACTGAAAAGATATCTTAGTTATAGGCCATGCACAATGAATTCAGTTTTAAAGTTCTCAGCAAAGCACTGATATTAAACCAATCTAATGAATTAATATTGGTTATGTTCATATGGATAGAATTAAGAATACACAATGTTAGTAATCTTACTGGGAATGTAATGTGAAAAAGAGGTTACCTGTTGCTGTGTTTCTTTGTGCTATTGCCTTTAGTCATGGGAGTAAGTCTTACTTGGAAGATTTAAAAGCACTTCAGGGAGGTACAGGAATATTTGCAGGACTGAGTGATCATTTGGCAATTAGGGACTTCAGACTTACATATGTAGTACATAACTCTATGCTGTAACTATTCAGTAGGAGGCCTCAGGTCCACAGCTGTTTGTATAGTATTCTGTTGCAATACTGAATAACTAGCAAAACCAACCTCGAGTCACTAGTAAAAGCAAATAAGATGCCTTTGTATCTTATTTTAGTAAAAAGGTATATTTGTGCTTAATCAGTTCTTTGACAAAGAAAAAAAAACCTACTGTTTGAAATCTATTTTAAAAGCTGTAAACCTTCTTTTGATAGGCGTTAGGATTGTACAGATTTGAAGCCACTTTGATTCCAGTTTTGTCATTTGAATTCATATCTCTTGAAAGCTTATTTGAAAAGGTAAGTTTCAAATTGTTTCATTTGTCTTATTTTCTACAGGGTTTGGTCATGGTTACCAAGATACTGTGTCTTATTTTGATCTGGTAGTGCCCTTTGTGGTAGCTCCTTTTGTGTTTCTACAAACACAGTTGTAAAAACCACAATATTGTATACAACACAAGACATTATTGTAGACAACATCAAATATGCTGCTCATACTTGTTAAAGAATTATGCTGGCCAGATAGAATTCATGTTTAGCTTGATGGACCATGGATCACCACAGGCTTTGGGGCATTTTGTCAGAATACAAGATTAGAAGAAGCTAGTGATGACTAAAGGTTACCTGAGGTTTGCCCTTACATTGTGCTGAAATTGTGCCCTGCACCTCCTAGTTACATGCAATAAAATTGCATAGTGCGTGTTCTCTTTCTGTTGGTTCTTCAATGTATGTGTTTCATTTTAAAATGAGGATGGTGAGGGGCTGGAGCAGCCTACTCTAGTGGAAGGTGTCCATGCCTGTGGCAGGGGTTGGAACTGGTTGAGCTTTAAGGTCCCTTCCAACACAAACCAGCCCAAGCCCCATCCAGTCTGGCCTTGAACACTGCCAGCGATGGAGCATTTACACTTCCCTGGGCACCCTGTGCCAGTGCCTCAGCACCCTCACAGTAAAGAACTTCTTCCTTATATCTAACCTGAACTTCCCCTGTTTCGGTTTAAACCCATCACCCCTTGTCCTGTCACTACAGTCCCTGATGAAAAGTACTGTCATATTTGCCCATTTCAGGCATTTATTGAAGCTGTTCTGTTCTTCACAAGATTATAAAAAATTGATCAACTAGATTTTTTAGATTTATTTATTCATTTATTTCTTAAATTTACTGTTTTTAAGTAGCTTTCTCATCCAGAATGCTATGGAGGCCTAATTTTTACTAGTCCAAGAGCATTAGAGGCCATCAAGATATGTTTAAAAGAGAAGAATAAAAATGAAGGTAAGCACATGTCTGTATTCCTTGGTCTTTCTGTTTCAGTATTTTCTGAAGTTTGTAATTTTATTTCACCCATAAGTAGGTGTCACAGTATACCTATATTAAAAAGCTGTTTCACAGTTCTTTCAGCATCATAAAGACCTCATGCTCAATTCAGCTTTTAAGGGTTGGGTTTTCTGCCCTTGTGCTGCTGTTAAAAATGAAAGGAAAGAGCTTTTGGTACAAACCACTCATTACTGTGAGCTTTTCCAGTTGTGCTTGTCTCATGTATAAGGAATACCTCGCTGCAGTCCCTAGTTTTGCTTGCTGACTACTTTCCTCCCTGAAAGAGAAGAACATGTTCAGTGCTCCTTCTATGCCTATATAATTCACATGAAGTCTTACAGAAACAGACATTTCTGTCTTGAATATAACATTTCTCAAGTGAATAAAGTATCAGCTAAAAAAGCAGTGAAGATACATTGAAACATAAAAGCCAACAGATTGGTTGTAAGAATCCTGCAGAGTGCTAAATAGAAATTACTGTACCAGTGATCTATCAAATACTTGTAAACTCTTCTAAATTCTTATGCTAAGTGATAACTTCTGGCCTCGAGTTTCTATGTACACTTAAATTGTTTTCTTACTTCATCTGCTCCGTATTTGGGCTGTAGGCATATGCAGTAAGGTTATGCTCACACGTAAGCAGTAATACACTGAGACTGTTAGCTTGCTTTAGCATTTTCAGCAGCAGGATTTTTGGTCAGATGTATCTAGAGTTCATCCCTAATCTTGATTAGGACTTTTAGGAGCTGCTGAAATACCTATTTTAATCAGTAAAATTAGGCTTTAGTTCCTATTTGGGTTCCTTTCAAAGGTACTTTGAATAAATCCTTAGATTTTTCTTTCTATCGAATAGTTTCCTCTAATTGCTTATTTTACTGTTGTAGTTTGTTTTTTCCCCCAAGAACACTGGAAAGGAACACAATATCCTGTGCTGCACTGTTTTAGAGCAAGATAGTAAAAGGCTTAGTGTATCTGTTTCTGACCCATTAGGATGTCAGGCCTAGGGATCAGGTAGCTGGAACCCTAACTTACTGCCTGAAGGAGGAAAACCATTTCCTAGTAATTTTGTTTTGGTCTTGGGTACATTTGATTTCTGAGTTGATAACTTGGTTTTGATGTATGTTCAAAACATAACCGGTTTCTCTTTTGTCTTCTGTAGGAAAGAGCTTATCGAGAACTGTAGTGCATGGATGTAGATTCTTACCCTTTTATTTGTTGGCATAGAATATTATATTGGTTGTTTTGCCTCAACCTTCAATGGCAAACCACCAGTTTGTATGCCTAAATCTCCCTTTGTACTACGTGCCTTTTCTCCTGTGAGTTTTGTTGAGTTCTTAATGCCAAAATATAAATGAACGTTGCAAGTTGCACGTCATCCACCATAGGGCAAGTGTACATTAAAAATGCTGCTTAACAAAAGCAGCTAAGAACAGTTTACTCAAATGAAGCTTTTAAAAACATGTTATAGACTGTTTACATTGAAAAAGCACATTAAAAATTCATGTAGTGCATCCAGATTTGCTGGAATGTAGTGGAGTATTAGTTGTTCTTATTTAGCTGTATTTGTAGATTTAACTGAAGTCCAGATACTCATTTAACATTCATATTTTGTTGCTACATGCTTAAATTTAATGTAATTTAATATTTTTCAGCCTGGTCAAAATCCCTTAAACAAAAGTGGGATACCAAACCAGTGTATGTGGTAGGAAAAGCAACAGCTTCTTTAGGTAAGTTGGGATTTAGGAATAGAAGTCTTAAATAAATCTCTCTTGTAAGTATGATTTTGTGAGTATTAGCTGCTGTTCGGGGGTGCTAAGAAAAAATACAGTGATAGGACATGAGGGAATGGGATCAAACTGAAACAGGGGAGGTTCAGGTTAAAGAAGTTCTTCCAGTGACGGTGCTGAGGCGCTGGCACAGGGTGCCCAGAGAAGTGGTGAATGCTCCATCCCAGGCAGTGTTCAGTGGACAGAGCCTTGGGCAACATGGTCTAGTTGAAGGTGTCCCTGCCCATGGCAGGGGGTTGGAACTGGAGGTCCTTTTCAACCTGAACCATTCTATGATATTATAAAGGGGTAATTTTGATGACAGGTAATTGTGTACAGATCAGAACTCTACGTGCCTACTTCAGCTAAGGACCCACCTTCTGGTTTCCCACTGGCTTTATTGTGATGTGGTGGTAACAACTTTAAAGATTTGGTCAAAAAAATGGCAAAACCCCCTTTGTACTTAATTTATGTGTGCTTTTTTTCTCATTCACTTTGGAAATGAAATTGGATGATGAGAATTATGACTGTATAAGGTTAAGTGCACTGGCCCTTCTTACCCTCAGTGTTCTTTGAGTTCTTTGCCAGGCAGAAGGCACCACTCTTACTTCCCATTCACTTCAGTGGTCCAGCTGCCTTGTTTATCTCAACACTGATTTTCATCTGGTGCAATACACCTTTTTGGTGCATAGCAAACATGCAACATAGATTGTACTTCATGAAAGCCTTTCTTGCTGTAAAATTGCATTGTAGCTTTAGCTTCCACTGAACTACACAGGGAATACCATGGAAAAACTGGGAAAATCTGGATGTTTTTCTGCTTCTACAAGAAGAAATATGGGAATGTCATGGTGTGTTTCTTCAGGCAGGCTGGTAGCAGCACTAGATCACCAACTAGTGACATCTAACATGCATCTTGAATCAGTCAAGTCCCAGACTAGTTAATTTCTAAGGGATTCATCTTATCCCCACGGATGTGCTTAAATAAGAGCAGATTTTCCAATTGGATTTCAGCCTTCATTAGAGAGGACAGTGATACTGCTCAGTGGGAAGCTACAACCAAACCATGCCAGGAACTGCAGCCCATGCATAGCCAGACAGTGCTTTCTGTTTCACTGTTTCAAGGACAAGAGTTTAAAAAGTCTCCCAAACAGCTTAGTTATCCCCAGAATTCCTCATTTCTACTTTTTCATGTATGTCTTCCTAGAGCAAAAATCACATTTTTCATAACATATCACTACTATTTTTTTTTTGCTTTTCAAAGAAGTATTTGTGTGTTAGGATCAAGTTGTGTCTCTGTGTTTCTGTGACTGTAAATGTGAATTGCTCTCATTGATTTCAATAGTTTTCTTTGCTGCTTCTGGTTCTAGTGGAAGAAATCGGCCTTACTCCACAGGGAGAAAAGTCTGGAAATGCTGAGAAATTAGCTGAATATATTTGCTCAAGTAAGTTTCTCAGATCTGCTTAAATGAAGCTTATGTACCTCCCATTGGTTCAGAACTTACTGTAAATACCATTGAGCACACACTGGAACAGAGAAGTACATACTACATATATATATGTATATATCTTGTGTGTAGGTCCTGTGAATTCAGCTTCTGGGAATGGGGGTGACATCTCTAAAAGATGATAAAAATACTTTTAAATACCTATACAAAGTACTAATTTGCATGAAATCTTATACTCTGTAAATGGTTACTAATACTGTATGACCCGGTAGGCAGAGTATTCTTGTACTGAAAGATCAGAGCTGTAATGACTGGAGATTGCTGCTTAATCACAAGATTTAAATGATCATGACAACAGGTGTGCTGGTTCTCTGGGAACTTCAGGCTGACCTGACTGTCCTTGCTTTAAACCAGTTGATGCTGGGGATTTTTTGCTATGCCATAGCTGAAAGTCAATCAGAGTTGCTCCTTTCCTCAGAATTAACATGTGGCTTCAGAGGTACCTATTTTTCAGCACCTTCAAAGTGTACCTCTCTCTGCTGGGGGGAACAGTTAGCAACAGAAGTCAGCAGAATAGCCCCCAAGCCCTCTGAAACTGGCTGCTCGAATAGGCTTTGTACAAGATGAAAATCACACTTAAGGTTCAGTGTCTCTGCAGCAACCTGATAGTTGGCAGAGCTTCTTTGTACTTTATATGGCCTGGGATGCATTTTCCATGGGGAGCTCAGAATGAAATGAGAGGGTAGCTTTCAGTCTGATACAGGTATATATATTCCGGTATATATTTCATTGAAGGACTTTCTGCCCCTGATTTAAAAAGGGAAACATCTAGAGGCTGATTCAGGGTCCACTCATTGAACAGAGCTTGTGGCTTTGAAAAGCCCCATCTTTGAGCCAGTCAGGTAAATAGTATGCCTTTGGCTCACCCTGGTCAGAGAACAACAGAGACAATTGCAGTTATTCTGGATGTTGGGTGAATGATTGTATCTGCTGTTTTCAAAGCCCCGCTGCTGACCACACTTTGTGAACCTGCTGAATAAGGTGCTGGGTGCTTCAGGAGTGGAAGTGATGTCAAGAACCCTGACACATTGCTTTTGGCTGTTAGGCATAATGTTTGATGTAGAATCATGGACCTGTAAAGCTTGTCGAGTCCAACCCTTGCAATGAGTAGGGCCATCTTCAGTTATACCAGGTTGCTCAGAACCACATCCAGCCATATGAAAGGGTCTGTTGGTTAGCAAGGTCTGCATAGTAGCAGAGAAATAGAAGTAAAATGTGATAGGAGCTGGCAAGTATTGTTTTTTGTGGGTGCTCTGTAACTCATGTGCAAATAAGATATTTTAATTATATGGAATATTTCAGGCTAAAAGTGATAGTTGCCAACACAAGATTAAATAATAAATACTAAAAAATTAATTTTCAACGCAAAAATGCCATTAAGTGAAAAATAACCAAAGTATCCAACAGATACTTTAAACCAAAGAAAGGTTTTAGCTGATATTTTAGTGCTAGAAAGTCTGCTTCTGGTAGTGAATTAGTGATTGCCAGTTTGCAGATGAAGGTTGGTTGCTTTTTAGAGAAGGAAGATGAGAAAAATACCTGTATCTTCCTGTTGTATGTGAATGGGAAAGAACCTAAGATCAGGTCTAAGGAAGACAATCCATGTAGTACCAGGAGCAGAAAAACTTGATCTTGGTGAGCCTGTGGTAGCACAGTTACTGCATTGTAACATCTTAGTTATTTGGAATCCCTCTGAGGATCAGCCTGGCTCTTCCTCCTCCTATGGGAGCTGCTGGGTTCACAGATCCAATACTTAACGGCTGTGTTTGATCCTGAGACTGTTCCCTGCTTTGCCTGCAAGTTCCTGCATAGTTAGGAGCTGGCGGTCACAGAGGGAGCTGGATGGGGAACAGCACTTGATGGTGAGAGCAGAGGTTCAATCCAGAGCCAGCAGCATTTCTGATACCCAGCACAGAGAATCATAGAATCATGATTTGGGTTTGGGTTGGAAGGGACCTTAAAGCTCATCCAGTTCCAACCCCCTGCCATGGGTAGGGATGCCTCACACTAGACCAGCAGCTGTTTAACACAACAATGCAACATTTCCATTATCCTTGGAAAATGCCTGCCTTTGAACACCCTTCAGTTTTGATAAGCAAACAGTGAACTTCAGTCACTGGGGACTGCTTCTTCTTGTTACCTATAATCACACTCCATGATTTATTGGATTGGACCTATTTATACGCTCTCCATTTATCACATGGTTTATGACAACCCCTGAAGTACAGATTAAATTACATCATGTTCCCTGTTATGCATGTTATATTTGTTTATGCATAAAATTATAAGTAAATGAAAAGCTCTACATTGTTTATACCATTAGGATTTGGTGTCAAGAATTAAATCTGAAGTAATGATATAAAATGAAATCTGAAGTAATGATATTTCTTTTGTTATTCACCTCTTGTGCTTTGGTCCCCACTTCAACTTAAGTGGGAAAAATAAGAGTTTTATTCCTTAACTACCTGCATTTACTCTCTTTTCAAGGCAAATACACTTTAGTTCTCTTACAGTGTAACGTTGGTGTGGGTTATGGATTAGGGGATACCACAAGGGCCAATGCTGCTTGTATTGTTCAGGCCTACTAAGGACTTCTGTGCTTCATAAACACAGGTTAGAAAGGATTAGTGTTTCCTTACAGGCATCACACTGACATTGCAATTAACTGACATGAGTTATAGGAGGTTTAAGCTGAAGTATTTAGGTTTTATCTTTGTATTTTAAAATCTCTTTTTACATTCTGTCCCAAGTTCATTCTTCCTTCCTGTAATTGATTACAAGCATCTTATATTATTATAGTTATGGAATACTTGTACATGCTAAATACCTCTGTCCTCTGAATTGCGGATGCACTGCAAGTTACCTTAGGGCTGTGTCGGTGATGAAGCACATGGCATGTACTGCAGTGTTCAATGATATCTTTAAGATGTATTAAATGTATCACATTTTATTAAAGATATAAGTTAATTAAAGTTCTTGTTTGTGTGTTTACAGGAGAGAAATCCAGTTCCTCAGCTCTCCTTTTTCCTTGCGGAGCCCTGAAAAGAGAAGTGCTTCCTACAGTACTTAGAGAAAAAGGTGGGACTTCCCTTGGAGCCTCATTTTAATTCCTCAGCTGTGAGAAAAGCTGGATCTAAAGCTTGTGAATCCAATTTAGATGAGTAAAACTTGGATTTGCTGTTATGTTAGCTAGAAGTTAGAGGATGGGAGTGAAAACTGACAGGTGGGATTGCTGCCCCCAGCTCTGGGACTGAGCTGCATGGTTATTTGCCTTGTTCCTCACTTATGTTCTCATCTGTGGGATGGAAGGTAGCTCATGCATGGAAGTGATGCCAGATTTGCCTGGTATCCAGTGTGCTTTGAGGTCTTTGGTTTACAGATGCTTTGGGATATCTTGCAACTAGAAATACCTACAAATCCTTCACAGAATTTGTTTTCCTTTATGTTTTTAGCCTAAAATGATACACGTAAATCTGATTTATATGTGGAGTGTTTTACTGAAAGGATAGAAATTAATGAAGCCCTGTTTAATGATGGCTGTGTATCCTAATTGCAGGTATAACTCTGGAAAGCCTTACTGTTTATCAAACAACCCAGCATGCTCATCTGCAGGAGTCTTTGAGCAGTTATTTCTCACAACAGGTATTGGACACTGATAATACCTTGCAGTATATTCCTTGTGGGAATGGCTTTAACCTGCCAGAGGGGAGACTGAGATGAGCTCTTAGGCAGAAGCTCTTCCCTATGAGGGTGCTGAGGCGCTGGCACAGGGTGCCCAGAGAAGCTGTGGCTGCCCCATCCCTGGCAGCGTTCAAGGCCAGGTTGGACACAGGGGCTTGGAGCAAGCTGCTCTAGTGGAAGGGGTCCCTGCCCGTGGCAGGGGTTGGAGCTGGATGAGCTTTAAGGTCCCTTCCAACACAAACCAGGCTGGGATTCTATGATTCAGGGAAATAACTTGCTGAGTTTTAGGCTGAACAGAACAAGAACAGCTCCAGAACACTTTCAGTGTATTTATCTCCAAGCACTTGTGTGACAAAGTACTTGATTTTAGTCACACGCCAATCTCAGTGTTCTGTGGTGGAACTGGGGGGTTGCTGCCTGTACCACAGGAAACCATTTCTCTTGGCTTAGTTAACTGTGTTTTCTCATCAATAATAACACTTCCCAAACATATAAACACACCTGAAGTGATGTATGTGAGAAAGTGTACTGGGAAGAGTGAGGAATCCATGCCAACCTGTGGTTACTTTTACTCAGGGAATTCCAGCAAGTATTGTGTTCTTCAGTCCATCCGGTGTCAGATTTTGCCTCCAGCACATTCAGAAGCTTTTAGGAGATTATATCAATCATATCAAGGTATTGTCTCTTCAAAACTGGTGAGATACAACAGGGCGTAAGCCTGGGGTTGCGAATGAGAGATAGAAAAGCTGTTACACCTCTTACAAACCTTCATTTTCTCTCTTTGTGCTTATTTCTCTGCAAAAATCCCAGCTAACAGCAAATACAGATGTTATTATATAGCTGAGAGCCTTTATAAAAGAAAGAAAAAGGAATTTCACCTGGAAGTATTTTCTCCAATTAACTTACCCCATCTCCACTGATGGGTGGTTTTTAATACTGAGATTCTTCAACCTGAAATGGATAAAAGCTTTAGTAAGGTGAAATACAGCGACAGTGCGGCAGGGGAGGGAGGATGCATACCTCAGTGAGTCAGAGCTGATGCCATCCCTAACCTTCCTGTTGTAACTGTAAATACCATCATTCCAGTTTGCTGCCATCGGTCCAACGACAGCCGAAGCCATGGAAGCAGCAGGAATCCCTGTGAGCTGCACTGCAGAGAGCCCCACTCCCCAGGACCTTGCCACTGGAATCCAGAAAGCCCTTCACTTACACAACTGCTCTGGACCTGAATGAGCACAGTGTGACTTTGAAGGTGAATTCAGTGCTGTAGAAGGTTTGTTTGCAGACCTGTTGCTCTGCAAGGAGGTGTTCTTCAGGGATATGCAACACTGTCCTCATCTGGTGTGAGAAGCTGGCACCTAAACGTAGAAGAAATCTAGGATTTGTCCAGCATCCCTTAAAGTATCAGTTACTCCCCTTCTCTCATGTGTGCAGTGTAAATACTTCATGTGGTTATTCCTTGAAAGCTCAGTGTGAGAGGCTGATTTGCCTCAGAGCTCAGTGAGATAAGTTCAGTGTATGACCTCAGGTAGCACCTACACACCAGGTAAGGCTTTCATGTGTCTGTAGAATCAGTTCTACACCCATCCTGCTCTTTTATAGATGAAAACCATACACACAATAAGGTGGTTCCTGTTGTAAAGCTTACTTGTTCATTGGTCTGCTTTTCAGATGTTGATATTAAAATGATGATTGTAGATACTCAGTGGAATAGGACCATTCTTAGGGTGAAGCTGCACCATGTGGAGCTAAAAGCAGGTCAGCTATTACCATTCCCTATCCCTCCAGTACAGAGTCCTATAAATGAGGTTTTGGTTTCTATTCCTGTAAAGGAGGAGGATTTATTAAAGGCAAAATAAACTGACTTATCATAGTTAATAATGGTGTTAGAGGTGTCTGTTTTGGATGTGGTTTATGCTTGAGTTGTTTATCTGTGAAAGAGGAAACAGTAATCCCATTTAGCACCACTGCTACTGCTGAGGAATTCAGAGCAGATCTAAATCATAATAAACTTAATTATAATCCCCATGAAAGTCATTCAGTGCAGTGCTGAGGTTCAGAGACTAACAGAGAAATCCTCATTTGCTGTAAATTTCTATTAGCTTAATTCTGAGTCTATGACCTGAATTCCCAATTAGGTGAGATGCTCTGTACCAGGAGTAAGAGTTAATCTGAGCCTAATTATGTTACTGCAAACTGAAGTCATGTCAAACTGTGTGTGTGGATTCATCAGTCAGCCTGGACACAATAAAACAGCCATTTTGCTTTCTCAAGGAGTTCCATTTCTTAGGATGAAATAGAATCTCAGAAGTATTATAGACTTCAGAAGTATTTATGGACCTGTTGAAGCAAGTCTAGAGGAGGCCATGGAGATGCTGTGAGGGCTGGAGCAGCTCTGCTCTAGAGCCAGGCTGAGAGAGCTGGGCTGGGGCAGCCTGGAGAAGAGAAGGCTCCTGAAGGGGAGACCTGAGAGCAGCTCCAGTGCCTAAAGGGGCTGCAGGAAACCTGGAGAGGGGCTTGGGACAAGAGCCTGTAGGGACAGGCCAAGGGGAATGGCTTTAACCTGCCAGAGGGGAGACTGAGATGAGCTCTTAGGCAGAAGCTCTTCCCTGGGAGGGTGCTGAGGTGCTGGCACAGGGTGCCCAGAGAAGCTGTGGCTGCCCCATCCCTGGCAGTGTTCAAGGCCAGGTTGGACACAGGGGCTTGGAGCAAGCTGCTCTAGTGGAAGGTGTCCCTGCCCGTGGCAGGGGTTGGAACTGGATGAGCTTTAACATCTCTTCCAGCCCAAATTCTGTGATTCTATGATTCTCTGAAATGATACTTACTTCCAAAAAACAAAGCCCTGCACATTCTAAGACAAGACTTGCCTGTTAGGCACCTCATTCTGGTGAGCAGCTTGCTGCTTTGATGAGGGTGTTGCTGCCATCACCAGTAACCCCAAGGCAGACCCATGCAGCAGTCTGTATTTAATAAATAAATTTTATTTAAAAATATGCTCTCATTTATTCACAGTTTCAAGTCTGAAAAACATAATAATACTCTTCTTAATCAATCCAAACACAGCTAAACCCACTCAACTTGCTGGAGTGAAGCCCAGGGATGGCCCCTATTTGGCGGAGTCCTGCAGCACACCTGGAAAAGCACACATCTCTGTGCAGGATAGTAACTGCTAATAGCAGTGTATCCATATATGCAACAGAAACTTGCTTGTACAGCTCCAGGCTGACATTATGGGTTAAAGTGTTTCAATCCAGCCTTGCTTACAAAGTGTATTCCATGAAACATCAACTCGAGCAACTGTGAAATTACATTTGTATGCAAGACATTGATACCACTGCAAAGCCCCTTATCTGAAAAATAGGGAATTTCTCCAACACGAGAAGTGTTTCTGTTTCTATGCAGAACCCCAGTGTGGCACTTCAAACAAAGAAACACCATCGCAGAGGGCTCATGGGATAAACAGGAATCCCTGCTTTTCCCCCACACGTACAATGTAACGACACAGGCTCTATTACCACCTGCAATAAATAGGAATATCGCATGGGAAAAGATACAATACCACCAATCCCATGTGAAGCAAGGCACTGTTGGGCTGTTCCACAGCGTGGCAGTCACTGGATTCCTGCACTGCCAGTGTCTGAGTTCTGAGTGAGCTGCTCCAGTAAATTCAGGATCACTTCCACCCGCTCCAGCAGAGTCAGGCTTCTGTTGGCAGTTGCCCGCAGGAGAAGAGAGTAAACCTGCTTGTTGGTTTGAAGAACAGCTTCTTCTTCATTAATGACCCTAATAACAAAGCAGGTTATACAGGCTATTAACCTGACCACAGGACTGGATTCTGCAAGTTATCAGTTATTAAATGACATTGATGGCTATCCCAGTGGAAGAATATGACTGGTGTTTCCTCTGGAGTCTCTCATTTCCTACCATGCCACATTTAACATCCAAGACGGATAATCAAGTGAGCCAAACTAGAAAAACCCTAAAATACTGGCACTGGTGTTATAAATAAAGCATGGTTGTGTACATATTAATCATGTACATTAATTATACATCAGATTCCTTGCAAATGCTTCAAGAATTACTAAGAAATAGTGAAACACCATTAAATCCCTAACACTAGGCAGAAATCAGAGGGGTTTGCTTATTGATCAGAACAGGCAGTCAATAAAAGCCACTGAGGTGCAAAGTATTTCCAGGGTAAGTTACAAGAATTCCCAGAACCAAGTATTACTTTCAGTTACTTCTTTCCCCTGATATATACAGCCAAGTTCAGTTATGCTCATGCTTTTAACTTTTAGAGGGTAAAGCTCCGATTTCATCTGGTTTCATTGCTAGTCTGCAAGTTTCACTATCAAAACATTTAGTTTTACTACATGTTCTCTGCCAAAGTGCATCTGAAACCTGAAGTAGCATTTGTGAGCTCAACCTCCTCCCTTTCAGCCTGTTACTAAACAGAAGGCAGATGTTTTCTTCTACAAAGCAGAATGGAGGAAACACATGAGATGTACATGAGGTACTTAGGTAAAGCAAAAGGCAGCTTCAAGCTGAGCCTCAATCCACTATTGTTTAAACAAGTGTAACCTGTTGTAACAACAGTCCCATTTCACAGCATTCAGACTCTTATCACTTTCCCTGTAGGGAATCTTCAATAGAAAACCCTACTCACACAATGGGAAAACAACAGAGGGGAAACCCCCACAAACCAAAACCCCTTCTTTGACAACACTTAGGAGGCAACAGAACTAACCAATTTACACAGTTACTTGGGACATCTGCTGGGTTAGGTACCAATCTTAATGGAATCCTCTGCATTCCACGCATTCAGGTTGCCACCTTGTGGAAGCTTTTTAGAAAGGAAAGGAAAGCACCTAATGCTGTGCTAAAAACCAAGTACTCAGGCAGTGCACAGCTTCCTTGTGTCTCACATTTCTCTATTTATCCATCTTCCTCTAGCAGCAGAAAACTTCATGTGCAGAATGATGCCATTTCACACTTCACTGTTGGCAAAACAGCACTGGCACCAGCAGTGCTTCCATCTGAGAAGCTATTAACACAGCTTCCAACAATAGAAGAATTCCCTAGAAGGATACACTACCACTAAGGGCACATTTTCATACATTACCTTTACCTAACATTAGAAATTTCTTAAAGGCCAATGAGCATCTTCTCCACATCCATCCCTCTCTATTTACAGCACTACTGCAGCACCTACATGTATTCTGCTTGCTAAACTATACTGTCTCCAACATACTTTATTATCAAGACATGAAAAGATCAGCAATACACAGGAGTTACTCCCCCATTAACTTTCACATGCTCTGTCACAGATGAAGACCAACGTCAGCCAACATAAGGAACTCCATATGCACATACCTCATTCCCTGAACTGTTTGATGAACCAAAACCAGAGAGAACTAGGCCAGAAAATTATGGCAGTGCAAGTTATGGCTTAAAATTCTGTTAAAATTATGGCTTTGTGCGTGATTTATACCTATGAAGGACACAGGATTTATATCCTCTGAAGGATCAGTTGGATACCACCGAGCATTACACAGCACCAGGGACTCATAACTGTTCCATGCATTTCAGAGGATGATTAAACTATGATTTTCCAATCGTGCTGTGGAACATACAGCAATTCAAGTCTCACTTTTGTCCTCAGTCATGGATTGCTATCAGGAAAGAGGAGAAAAAAAGCTACCTAGACCCATGCAGAGATGATGTTTCTTGGTCACTGCCTCAGTTACACACAAACGCACAGAAAACATTGACAATTCAGACAGTTGAGGTACATCTCGGTTCCTTCTCTGCATAAGAGAAGCACCTCCATAAAAGAATACATACCACAGTTCTAGCAGGCTGAAGAGTCATAGTTATGGATTTATGGATGGGAAACACATCTACACATGCATATCATGGTTCAACTTACCCAATCTTTTTTTTGGTTGAAGTTAACAACTTAATGGACTGGAGGAGAAGGAATGACATTCTGGATTCAAAAATACTGAGCAGTTTCAACACTTCTTCTTTGTTAAGGCTGGTGGAGGAATCAGTAGGTGACATGTTCTCAGCAGCACTTTTACCTTCACTTGCCTATAAGAGAGAAAGCAAAAACCATGTCACTGAACTCACCATTTAAACCCAGTTCAGCTAAAGCCAGGCAGCCCCACCAGCACGTTAGTCGATTCTTTACTGGAATGGTACTAACATCAGTTTCTGTGGCACCCTCTTTATGGGGTAGTTACACTTATATCCACACTGTGCACAACTTACACCGACTGCCTGTGTTGTATATACACATTGGAGTATTTAGTTACAAAAGCATCAGGCAAATATGGACTTGATGACTCCATCTACTGCTCAAGTTGCCAGCAAGGGATGACATACATCAGCATATACTGCAAGTAATGATTTGTTTAGGCATCAAGAACCTGATCACACTAGCTACAGATAGCCTTCCACCTTTTGATATTAAATATACTATACAGAGAGTATTCCCATTAATATTGTACACAATTCAAGTTCTTAAGGGATAAGGGAACTTTAAGGGATAACCCAGAGCGGCACAGAACCCTGTTCAGACAGTCTAGATCCATATACATGCATGTTTAACAGGAAGCAGTGACAGGAAAAGGGGTTTTAACCTGCCAGAGGGAAGACTGAGATGAGCTCTTAAGGCAGAAGCTCTTCCCTGTGAGGATGCTGAGGCGCTGGCACAGGGTGCCCAGAGAAGCTGTGGCTGCCCCATCCCTGGCAGTGTTTAAGGCCAGGTTGGACACAGGGGCTTCGAGCAAGCTGCTCTAGTGGAAGGTGTCCCTGCCCGTGGCAGGGGGTTGGAACTGGATGAGCTTTAAGATTCTTTCCAACACAAACCAGTCTGG